TTACGATCTAGATCTTCTTGCCGTGAGATGTTTGTTCAACACAAAATATTTACAGTAGCATGTATGTATATATAAAATTTTAACATATATTTTCCAGCACAGAAATGATTATCTTAAGCATACTGACCTCCACGACTACAGCACTCGTAATAAAAATAATATAGTTAGGCCTGTGTCTTATCATACGTTTTATCCAAAATCTCCCATAACAGCAGGGATATACTTTTTGTAACTTCGGAGATTAAAAACGTAAATTCCATAGGGATTTTCAAAAGACGTTTGCGGGACAAGCTATCGGATTGCACTTTTTACGAGTATGACCTGGGTGAGTTTGTCACATTTCAAAATGATTCTGATAGATCTTAATAAATAATTTATTACCATGTGTGTGTGTATCATATTGCTTTTTTTATGTCCCTATTGTTGTTTGTATTGTACTTCATTTTATCTACATTTTAATCTGTATACACTGACTTATCCAATGTCTACAATGTAGATCTAACTGCAACAATAAATAAATCTGATTCTGATAGAATATTCATGCTTATCAAAAATGTTCAATCTGACAGATCATCATAAATTATTGTTAGACATATTGGAGAGAATTGGCTTTCCAGGAAAGATGCACTCATTATTAAAAAATTACTTATCTAATAGACAGCAATCTGTCAAAATATCCGATACAAAATACCTTGGAATGGTCCACTTGCGTAGGGATGTTCATATTTCATATATTTTTAAAAAAGTTAGATTTGTCTTATATAAAATTAAATACCTCAAAGATATTCTAAAAGTGAAATATCTCTATTCCTTTTACCATACCTTGACCGAACCAGATTTAAATTACGTTATAGAGGTCTTCCAAAAACATTCTTCAAAAACCAAAATTATATCCCACTGATGGCATATAACGGGTCTTTTTTTTCGAGGTATAGAACTTTAAGTCGGCTTTACTTTTGAAGATGTCGACCGATTTGACAGCTGTCAAGTGATTTATTCTCAGTTTCGTTTGGCAATTCACCAAGAATAGACTCACGCCTGAACAACGCTTACAAATTGTGCAGTTTTATTTCGATAATAATGGTTCTGTGCGGAATACGTATCGCGCACACTACGTCCATTTTATCGTCGACAAAATCGTCCATCAGAGCAGTTAATTCGATTAACCATGAAACGTTTTCGCACCACGTTTACTCTAATTGATAACTCGCATCCCCAGAGAGGCCGTACGGTGGGTACAGAAGAAGCTATTGCTACTGTAGAGCGTAGCATTGAGGAAGACCCGAATGAGTCCATCCGCCATCGAGCACAGGAATTGGATCTGTGTCCATCCACTTTATGGAAGATTTTGCGGAAGGATCTTGGTTTGCGTGCTTACAAAATCCAATTCGTGCAAGAATTGAAGCCAAACGATCATCAAGCAAGGCGTAGATCAGAAATCATATTTAAAATGTAATGCCACAAGATTATCTTTCGAATAAAAAAAATTCATGTCAATTGAATAATCCATCGTTGTTTTATTGCAATTTAAAGTTCTATACATCTAAAAAAAAACACCCGTTATAAACAACACCTTTACCTCTTACAAGCTATCACCAACTATCACAAATATTCTAGTAACGATCAAAAATCAATCACAATCACCATACAATACGTAAACGGTTGTACCTAGACCTAACAAATCTATAACAGTGCCTTTATTTAGTACCAAAATTATACGTAAGTTTACCTGACAATATAAAGAACCTACGCTTTGGGAATAATTTTTAAAAATAAAAAGAATTGTTATTTTCTCTAGCGAGTCCAAACATACACAAATTAATAGTAAATATAAACATCAAATAATTCGTTGGCTTGTTGCATCATTATTCTTTGCACAATTGCAACATTAATGGTCCATGTACAGACAATACCTTCTGTGACGCTTCTTTCATTTTTATTTGCTTTTTTCCCATATTATTGTGCTAAGGAGTAAATAAATGTTATTATTATCATCATATCTGAACTGATGAACTTGCATGAGAGGTGCAGCGTCAACCTAGTTGACGTATGAAGTAAAGTGTTGTCCTGGCTATGACCTTAGACAAGGTTTGGTACACTTAACATCAATTAGAGTGCTTTTTAAATCAGCCTAGTTTCGGGTTTACACGCCGCATTATTCTAGTTGCGCCTGTAACCCATATATTTTCATTTTCTAAGAGACACAAGAAACGGAACCTGCTAAGCGCGCTGACCATAGAAGGCATCGAGGTCCTCGCGCGATGATCCGATTGCCCGGAACAGATCGTCATTTGTTGTTTCCTTCGTGCTCTGTCACCTTGATACGACACGGCACGTAGCACTTTAGTTCAGTCCGTATAGACTAAAATTCATGAAAAGTGAATAAACGAGTAGTAGTTAAGTATGTAGAGTTGGACATAACTCGCCCACAGAAAAGTGAACATTCAGTTTTGTTTTCAAAATTTTTCAGAAATAAGTTATGTTTACTTCCCCCGCATACTGGCGGGGAAGTATTGTAATCGCTAAAATTTTACAAAATGAGATATGTTTTTGGATGTTATATGACAGGTACATCATGAAGAACTCATCTCCGTCTGCCTGTATGTATGTCGGTCTGTCCTGTCTGTCCTATAACTAGAGAAGTACCGCTCGGATTTCGATGAAGTTTTTCGGTCCAGTGGTGGCGTAGAAAAAGATCAAAAACGAAAAAAAAATTAAAATCGCTCAGACTTGACGTTTTAGAGAGGGTCCTGATCATTTTCAGAAACATTTTTGTAAGTTTTTGAAAATGAAGGCTTGGGGGTTGTAAGGGGTGGGGAAGGATATATGAATTTCTGTTGATCTTAGTATATTCATACGCCTCCTACCCCTATGCACCTATTAGGCATATTTCACACATCATAGATTTACCCGTACATTTGCCTTTAAAACTATCAGAAATGATAGAGATGACTTTGAAACTTATAATGATAGAGAAATGTTTTCGATCTGCGTAGTCCTGTCTATCTAAGCCCACCGCCTGGAGAACCGGTTTGGCTTATTTATTTATATATAAACGGATCATGCGGAGAAAGGTATAAAAACAAATAGAAACATAATGGACAACATCCGCAAAAAGAATGAAAGTGGATTCGAGCAAAAAGTAAGATAGGTAACCCGAGCAATACGCATTTCTTGTTGTTGGCTCCATCAGACCCGAAATGAATGCACATATGCAACTACAAAAGTAGACGCACATGCCCATAGATCCGACTCAGGGGGTACCTGAGGAAACGAAGATAGAGAGGAACAAAACGACATTCGAAGTCACCAACAAGACCCAACCAACACTTTTGTAGTATAATGGCCAGAAGACCTCGAGTTTTCAAGGCGACTTGTAACCACAACCACGCAACCGGTTATAGCCCCTAATGGGCAAAATCCGCAAAAAGAAGAAGAGTGGATTTGAGCAGAAAGTATGATATGTAACCCGAGTGTTGGTTTATTCCTCTTCATCTTAGTTTCTTCAGCTTATACCCGTAGTCTGATATATCGGCATGTGTGTCTACTTTTGTAGTTGCATATGTGCATTCTTTTCGGGCCTGATGAAGCCAACAAGCAGAAATGCGTAACTACCGGCCGCGGCTGCTGCTCCAGGCGTCGTGCCGCCGACCTTGGTGAGTATTCTATTCCAGGTGCACTACCGGTAGGGCAGAGATATAGTATAATATCTATGGACTAATTGTATGGACCTGTTTGCATTTTTTCTCAGAGGGTCTAGTTTGTGCTGAGATAATCCTTTGTGAACTGGTAGCGGCGTGGCGTGGAAAGTGCAGGGTCAACCTACTTAACGTCATTTTTTCATTACATGAAAGCTGAATCGATGCTCTAAATTGTATGTACATTATTATTAACCACACATCTGTCCTCTTATAAGATTATTTTTCATTAGCACAAGTACAGTTGTTTCATAAAATGTTATTTCCATTAAAGCTTAGATTGTGGAATGGAGTCTAGACTTCCATCAGATGTCATGTACAACGTACGGAATAAAAATCAAACTGTATTGGCTGATTCCTTCCGATGGGTTCTACTTCAAAGCAAAATTCGGTAGCACTCAAGCTAAAAAACGAGAACAAAACGCATGACCTTCAAAAATAATAATAATAATGAATGGTGAAGTCAAGCGCGAAGCTTTTCCAGGAAAATTCAGACAAATAAAAAATACATCATAGCCATAATATAGAATTCACATAATATCCATTTTATAAGTTGTGTAAAGTATAGGTTATTCGATTTGCATTAGTGTGTGAAACATAAAGTTTTTTTGAGCGTTAAAAAAATTCAATTTCGTCCAGTAATACCCATTACTCCACCATGAATAATCGATGCTGTGGAGACATGATATATAATCCCATCACAATAAATATATTCCTGACAATCAAAAACGAAAAAAAAAGAGATTCCTTCAAAACCCTAAAATTGAATAATTTGAAACTAAAACAGGAATTATTTCATTTAAAAAGGTTCAGTCTTTGCATAATTTGTATTTCATAGTTTCTTTACTTTTCATCTACAGCTTCTCAAAAATTTCAGACAGTTTTTGATGAAATGTGAAACAAAAAAAATATTAATATACATTTCAAATATTTGGAAAAGTTGAAATGACTTTATCATTTGTTTTTTTTTAATTCTACTGACTTTCAACTACCACCCTTACATATTTCATCCTTCCTGTTCTCGCTCGATCATAAGCTCCTCATACTGGGCTATGTCTTCCCCTCATTTTTCTTCGATTGTTGTAAACAAACGAATGTCACAGGACCGACCGACAACCGAACCGGCTCCGTCTAGTACCTCCAGTACCGTGTCTGCCGCGATCTTCTGCGTCTGCACATTAATTTCTGCTATTTCGATTCGGTGATTCCGCGACATACTCGCATCGTCGTCTGACAGATAGTAGTAGTAATATGTGGATGAAATAAATTGTGATTTATTTACAAAGAGATATGACCAGAACAATGATGCAGCCCAAATCGGGTACTGCGGTACTGGCTATGCCCACGGCTTCTGTGATCATCTCAACGGCGATTCACGAGTTTAGGAAGGCTTTTGTTTATTTCAGCTATAAGTAAGTAGTTTTGTATTAGCAATCTAATTTTTGTTACAGAGTACTACTCTACAATTCAACCTCAGTATCTTAACAAAATAGTGGAATAGTGGAAAGGTGTGAAAAATGTACATGGAAGACTTGACAGTTACTTAGGTGGTGCGAAATCTTAATTTACTTCACACGACTGGCGAAAATTTTCTAAAATGAGATGTTAGGTTTAACCATGTCACTCATTTCCGACGGTCGTCTGTCTGACTGTCCGCTAATCTTATAACCGGCTATAACTTCAGAAGTACCGCTCGGGTTTCGATAAATTTTTACCCAATGTTGAAAATCTCTCTAGCGGCGGCAGAGAAAAAGGCCAAACACGAACAATAATAAAAATCGCTGAACTTCGTTTCTTGACGGTTTCAGAGGATCCTGATCATTTTTGAGAAAAAATGTAGAGGGTGGGGGTTGTAGGTGGTGGGGAGGGTTTATCTAATTTTTTCAAATTTAGTACATCCATACGCTCCCAAGTTTGGTAATCCTACGCACCTATTAGACATATTTCACACATCATAGACTTCTCAGTACATTAGCTCTTATAACATATTATATATATAATATTCTCAGCAGACGGATCGCGAACCTACCGGATGCGGCTGCTGCTCCCGTCGGTATTATAGGAATTTCTACCGCGCCACAGCATAGTGTTTCCTATGTTCTGCCGCGTTGCCACGTCTGACGGGTTTATGTATTGGGGAGAGATGACCTTCCCAGATGCACCAGAATCAGGAAAGAATACCTATGGACTAATTGTATGGACCTGTTTGACTGAGTTTTTTCTCAGGGGGTCTAGTTTGTGCTGAACATATTCCTTTACGAAATGAGAACTGCGTTGCGTGCGAAGTGGTAGATGGTAAAATTTTGTTTTAGTAAAAGTCTTATAGTTTCCGAGATTTTCAGCATTCATTTTTTTTAAAGTGACATATATATTCAGCTAATCCCGTGCCATTGCTACAAATATCAACTTTTTCGAATAGGCTTGTTTTAAAACAATCAGAATCAAGCATTTCGTCTTGTCCAGAATTATTTTTCTTCAAGGTGGCGAAAAACACACATAAAAGTCTAAATTTTCACTAAAACCCCTTCTTACATCTGACTTTGACATTCTGTAGTGTGAGAGGATCAAGTGCGATCACTGAGCAAACTAGTCAAAAAAGTTGGCTAACTGTTGGCAATTTTTAAATAATATTGTTATTCGCCCTCTGCTATTTTTTTTTTCGTTTTATTGCAGTTATAATGAGGGAGGGCAGTTTTCGTAGATATTAGAAAATAACGATTTATGGCTTGGATACGAAAATGGACAGGATTGATGTTAGATAAAACATTTTTTTAACCTAAAAAAATAGCCTCTAGAATGCTCGAGGATGCTTTAATTTTAGAACTCAATCCTGTTACTGTGGTCAGCTCATTCTCTAAAGCAACCCCGATAAAAAATTGAATGGATTTTTATGAATGTTTTATGTTTGTAATTGAAGAGGTCTCGATCTTACCGAGTGTGATGTGCCAGAGTATTATTGTTGCAGCAAATCCGAATCAGAATATTTTTTTCGAGCAGATGCGAGGATACTAACCAACAAATGAACGCTAGAAGAAGCAGATTTGATACCTTGTTCTTAGATTTTGTAATTTTTTATAGTCAGTAGTTGTTCAGTGCCTCTTATTTGTATTTTGAGTTTTATAGTTGTTTTAGCGTTGAGTTTTATTAGTTTTCTAGTTATTTGCCTTGGTAGTTAATTAATCCATTATGCCCAGATACGAGTATACGCTAAGCGAGTACACATATATTAATCTCATTTGCATTTGCGTCGCTACAGAAGCTGCTCGTTACAATACTATGTATCTTGAATGTAAATTTATGCTTCAACATCAATTCCGTCAATTTTTTGTAATCAAGCCATAAATTGTTATTTTCTGGTATCTACAAAAACTGACCCCCCTCCTTTATAACTGCGATAAAACGATGCCTAGCAGATGCCTAATAAAAATAATACCATTTAAAAATTGCCAATAGTTGGCCAACTTGTTCGATTAATTTGACATCCTATATATGTGGTTTGATTCGGCCAGACAATGGAGTCTTTAGAGAATAGTACTTCAGCTTGCATCTTTTGAGGCTTAAGGACTTATTGTGTAGCCTCATTTAGCATACATTTAATATCACATTCGGATCGTTATTTTGAGAAAAATGGAAGAGGTTTTATTAAAACATGGTCTTTCATACAGCTAAAAATTTTTAAAAATCTAAAATTGTTATATTGAATGTTATTCAAGAATACTTTATTTTAATTCATTCTGAAACACGGAACATAAGAAATTAGATGTTGATAGTTCCATTTATAATAGCAGTCGTATATTTTTGAGCCAACACATATCGCAGACTACACCTGTGCCTATACCATAGAGTCGGCTGATCTTATATTCAGCAGCAAACATGTTTAATAACAATGCAGGTGTATTAGAGCCATTAGTAGCACAAAATAAAACTAAACAAATTTGGCAGTACCAGTCAATAAAAATAACTAAAACTTTTTTAAAAACAAGTTTACTTATAACGAACAAAATATTGAGCAATGAACCAAAACGATGATATACAGGGTGACTTTGAAGTTGAGTCATTAATTTTCAGATAATGATTGTAGAAGGAAGATAAACCAAAATATGTGTGTAAAAATAAAAAAAAAATTTTACCTTGTTTTATAAAGTATCCTCCCAACAAGTATTTCAGTGCGGACCTGTATTTGATCGTGAGGTGCCCTGTGAGGTCTTAAGTCACCTGATTCACGAGCCCGTTGTACTACATTAACAAAGGCACGAGGGGTTGGTTGCACTCGATTGGGAAACCGATCCGCATAAACATGTGCCATTTTTTATTTCGTTTGAGCCACGCAACAGACACTATTCACACGCGACTGACACTGACAGTATGTATAACTGAACTGAATGAAATAAAAACATCGTTCCAAATTCTTTCGCTTTTTTGTTTCCCATGCGATGAACCGATAAGGTGGATTATATCCGTTGTTGCCAAACACGAGTACATAATATTATTATTGAGACAGCACGGTACTCAAACTTCCAAAGGGCTATAACTTTGTTACTTTAATTTTACCAGAAAAATGGTAAAGGAAAAAACATTTCTTTTGATCAGATCTACTCACTGTTAAAATAAATGACTCAACTTCGAAGTCACCCTGTATATATATTGCCATCAAATCTTGCAATTTTGTAAAAACTATGAATAAAAGTTATGGTAACAAACACTCCAGCTTCGTAAATGGGTTTGCCTTGTTGAATAATTTGTATAAGTACATATATATATATATAATTCTTTTGTTGCCTCAGATACACTTTTAATTGTCGATGAGCTGTCTCTCGTAATTCCAGTTGCTTGCTGAACCAGTTTCCAGGATATTTTAACATGTTGCGCATTTTCGTGATCGATGTTTGTATTTACGAGAAAATCTATTCCATGTGATAGTGACATTTCTAACTACTTAGTAGTTTTTCTTCTCGTGACGTCCTTTAATTTGGATTAAAATAAATGTAGTAAAATTTTATAACACTACTACTATTAGCGCAACTCGAGCTGTAAATAATTAGTTTAGACGCCTGCTGAAAACATTTTAAATATGTAAGTATTTATCTTGTAAGGTATTTAAGCCTATTATAAAAATCAGGAGAAAATTAGAAAATATGAAATTCATTTTTATTTTTAAAGGTCGTGGGAAACAAACAGTAACCACGACAAGGTGCACACAATTTCTAATAATTCTATAATAATTTAAGAATTTGCTGGAAATAAATTTTGACTGGTTAATGTTAAAAATAAATATTGGAAAATGACGAAACTGGAAATTGCGCATAAGCGATATCTCGATTAACACCTTGTATCATATTTTAGCGATAAGTTAAACAAATTGGCGTTCATAAATATTAACTTTTCTGTGTAGGTATTTATACTAGTTCAGCAAATAGGTATTGAGATTAGATTGTAAACAGTAGGAATCTCCATAAACATATAGGCGACACAAACTAAATGTTAAATAGGTTGACTCATATTTTTTATATATGCATAACACAATAAGATTTTATTTTCTACCAAATCCAAGGTTGGCTATTTAATTTATGGATCCTTTAACACTCGTTGATTGAATTCTGCACAAACTAGTTGATTTCATATGAAAACTATTAACCTAGCAAAAAACACTGCACATTTGTTGGTCTGAAAGGTCACACGTATTGACCGAGTGAAGTTTCGATTCCATTTGAGTCTTTTGAATGTGGTATCGACTTGACCCATTTTTTTGTTCCACGCCTACTGGCGAGGAAGCTTTGTAATCGTGAAAAATTTCGAAAATGAGATATTATGATCCAATGCTTTGTACTTTTTAAAAATCGCTCAGTATGTTCTAAGGCTTTGTACTTTTTAAAAATCCAGTGGCGGCGGAACCAGGGACAAAATTACGAAAAAATACAAATCGCTCAAACTCCGTTTTTTGACGTTTCACAGATTCCTGATCATATCGAGAAAATTTTTTGTATGAGTTGGAAATCGGGAGTTGGGTTGTAGGGGGTGAGAGGGATAATATTCCTTTTGTCGGCGGCGATTTATTTATCCGCTTTCAACCCCTATCAGTACATATCACTTTAAAGATTTCCCGGTACATTTGCTTTATAGCTATTTATAGACGAGACACGCGGTATGCAACGGCGACTTTCATACCCCGAACCTTGTCTTGCGTCTGACAGCATCGCCGGCAGGGATGTTATGGTATCGTAGCTTGACTGGTGCGGTCCAGCAACGATGCTAGATTTTCGATACTTATGGCGGGGAAGAAACTAGCGTTTGCCTTATCAAATGGATGGAAACTATGGAGTATGTACTAATTTTATATGGGCCTGTTTGGCTAAATGGACCAATGTCATTTTTTTGTTATACATGTTTGTAGCTAGCTCAAAGGTACTAGCTGGTGACGAATATAATCCGTTATGAACTGGTGACAGCGTTTCGTGAGGAGTGCAGGGTCAAGCTACTTGACGTGTTTTTTCTGAGGGCTGTTTTGAGGGTTCCACTATTTTTTTTGCAGCTACTACCACAACAGATCACTTCACGTTATTGTAAACAAAAATAAAAAATAGTGGAAATTATATTCAATTTCAATTGCTTTGGTTTTTTTTAATCATTGTTCATATGGCGTTAAGTTTGGAAATAAATCGACCATAATCTAAACGGAATAGCGTGTGAAGTACTGAATGAATCTACGTGACGCCAGTCTTTTATGTGCTTCGAAAAAGGCAGACAGTGGAAACGTCAGTAATTTTTTCAACATAATATGGTTTTATTTATTGTCCAGTGCAAAGAAAAATACATTTAATTGACGTTCACACACATTAAATAAAAACGGCCGTTTTGGATTGCAATTACAGGTTAAAAAACCCTCAGTTTTCTGAAATTTTTGGCAGCACCCATATATCTTTTCTTTAAAGCTGAAACACTTTTCTTGCTGGATTTATATATATATAGGGTATTGTCGGGAACAGTGGCTCAGTCGGGTACAGTGGCTCCATTCAATATCTCCAAAACGAGAGAGACTATCTATCTGTCGCAGTCATCTACATCAAGTGTTTACGACACAAATGCGCATGAACCAGTCGGTCAGCAACTAAAGCACTGATAGCACGCGTCTCGCCTTTGTGTTGGTTTTCAGGTACCCAAAATTACATTTCCAGGTAAGTTTGACTTTAAAATTCTAGCTTAATTGCTGTAGTTTATTATTTATTTATATTTTGTAGTAAAGTAAGTAGAAGCAAGATAATTTTAACTTTGCTTAGAACAGCCAGTGCAACGTGAATATGGCACAGAAGACATATATTTCAAAATGGCGTCACGGTCGACAGTGGCTCAGCACGTGGAAGTACACAGTGGTTCACGAGCCACTGTGTACTATTAGTGAACCATTGTGTACCGCTTACTTGAATATTTGTTTCAGAATGCCTCGCAAGAAACGGGCAATGAGAAAAATTGGCAACAGCTCCGCTGCAGACGTTAAAGCTGGGGTACTATTAATAAGGCAGGGTATGTCTATCAGAAAAGCAGCTACGAGTTGTGGTGTGCCATTTACTACCCTGAAGAGGTATTATTGGAAAACTGCTGGTTCCGAAAATCTCGATGAGGAGCGATTCGAGCCGAATTATTCTGTGAACCAGATCTTTACCGCATCCCAAGAAGAGAAGTTGAAGGAATATTTTTCGCATTGCGCTCTTCTGTTTTACGGATTAACTGCAAGAGAATGTCGTCAAGTGGCGTATCAATGTGCTAAGCTAAATAATATAAAGATGCCTAAATCTTGGACAGACAATGAAATGGCGGGTAAGGACTGGTTAACTTTGTTCAAACGTAGGAACAGGTTTTCTTCCAGGAGGCCAGAACCTTGTAGCCTAGCAAGAGCTACAGCCTTCAACCGAAACAACGTCAATAATTTTTACAATAATTTAGAAGATCTGATCAAGAGAAACTCGTCTTTTGCAAATGGTACCCGTATATTTAATCTGGATGAAACATCAACGACAACAGTGCAAAAGCCTCAAAAAGTAATAGCACCATTAGGCAGAAAATGCATTGGAAAAGTCACAAGTGGTGAGAGAGGAACTTTGGTAACCACATGCTGCATTGTAAGTGCCAGCGGCAACGCTTTGCCACCAGTTATGATATTTCCTAGGAAAAAATTTAAAGATCATATGATCAAAAACACACCTGCAGGAACACTCGGCTTAGCAACGCCTCGTGGATGGATGAACGCGGATAGTTTCACAGAAGTAATGAAACATTTTATCAAGCATACGAACTCTTGCAAAGAAAATCCTAGTATGTTGGTAATGGATAACCACGAGTCACATTTGAGCATTGAAGCCATACTGTTGGCAAAAGATTGTGGAGTCAATCTCCTCACTATTCATCCCCACACTTCGGGGAAATTACAACCACTTGACGTGGGAGTATTTAGCGCGTTCAAAGTATATTATAATGCTGGCATCGATTCCTGGCTTATGACACATCCTGGAAAGCCTGTTACCATATATGACTTAGGTGAAATCATTGGGGCAGCCTTTCTTAAAGCAATGACCCCAACAAACATTACCAGGGCTTTTGCAAAATGTGGTATTTACCCATTCGACAGAAACCTTTTACAGACGAGGACTTTCTGCCAAGTACAGTAACAGATCGTCCAGGTCCCTGTTCAGACTGTTTGCCACGTGAAGAAGGGCTCATAAACGTAAACATCAATTCAATGAATGTCATCGAGTTGGGAGCACCGGAAGAGACCACTACTGCGCACTCATCGGAGCATTCTATTTCACAGACTTGTGCAACATCAGAAAAACCATGCTCACCAACGTTGGGTACTTCGACGACACAACCAAGTCAAATTGAAACCACTGTTGTGTCTATCAACCATCAATCCATTTCTAAAGAAGTGGAAACGAAGAACCTGTCCGATGAAGATTCAATTTTGACAAAAACAAAAGTATCCAATACCATTTCAGTTCCATCAGGACTCCAGTCATTAAAAATATTAGCTCCTGAAGTGCTCATATCAGCAATTTCTTCGAACAAACTTCCACCCAAGCCATATATAATTACCCCGACACAAGACGTTGCTTTGACACCATCCATTTCTCAATCAGCTGAGAATACTTTTACATCTCCGTTTGAGTTTAGAGACCCAATAAAGGCTGGACCTAGAACAACTACCCGCAAGCGAAGGAAACCAGGCCGTAGCATGATTCTTACTGACACACCGGAAAAAGTTCGTCTAGAACAAGAAAAAATAGCTGCTAAAAGTAAAAACACTAATAAGAAGGGAAAAGTCACTCGAAAAGTATTACAAAGTGATGAAGAAGATAATGATCAAGAGAAGGAAACAGTGGAATATGCTGAATCTGATGATGATACAGACTGGGCAGCAGAAGATGAAGACGAAAACTCTGACGAAGTATCAGTGATTATAACTGAAAGGCACCTAACCAAATCTCTAACTCGTGCGCCACTAGAGGGCGAATATGTGATTGTACAATTTACAACAAAAAAACTTACATCGCTTTACGTTGGAAAGGTGATAGAAGGTAGAAATGAGAATAATGAATTCTACATATCATTTCTGAGGCGTACGCCTGGTACTAGCAAATTTCACATGCCTGATAAGCCTGACCTTTCTGTTATAAAAGAAAGTGATTTGAAATTACTTCTGCCAAAGCCTTCAATTGTTGGCACTTCTTCTAGGCCGTACTATAATTTTGGACTAGATTATCCCAACTTCGGATATGCTAAGAGGTATAAGGGTTATGGAGTTATTAATTTTTATTTTTGACTTGTTCTACAAACTTCATCATTCGATGAGCTTAAGGAGTAAGATTGGTTTTTGTCTCTGATTGTAATAAAAGTTTTTTTTAACATTTTAAGTACAAAAGAATACTTACAAAGTAATGTGTACATTTGTAAGTTAAGTAGAAGACTTAATTTTATTTGCTTGCTGATTATTATTATTGTTATTATTTATGCTTACGATGAGACTTATTAAAGTAGAAGTTCTTCAGTGTTTGTAAGGCAAATAGGAGTCTGATGTATGTGTGATTTTGATTATTTCAATGTTAACAGCTACGATGCGCTCATTTTGTTTTTTAATATAGTAATGGGAATAAGTTTATTTTGATCAGTGTTTTTTCCGAGATATTCAAATGTGACTCAGAAATAAAGATTTCAACAGCATTCCCGTACTTTTGATTAACTCGGTTTGTCTTGAGTCTCTGTGTACTGTTAGAACCACTGTGGACCACTGGGGTGTGTCACTGTAGCACCCTACCTGTGCACAGTGGCTCATTTCTAATTTTTTACAAAATCATTATTGGTTGTTTTTTGGCACCCTTTGTGGACATTTCGATGGCACAGGATAAAAATTTCATAACCTCTGCCCACATTGGCCGAGTTTCAAGCCATTTGGTGAAGACTCGATGAATATTAGAGTCAACTGAAAAAAAGTGAGCCACTGTTCCCGACAATACCCTATATATATACAGGGTGACTTTGAAGTTGAGTCATTAATTTTCAGATAATGATTGTAGAAGGAAGATAAACCAGAATATGTGTGTAAAAATAAAAAAAAATTAAAAAAAAATGTTTACCTTGTTTTATAAAGTATCCTCCCGACAAGCATTTCAGTGCGGACCTGTATTTGATCGTGAGGTCCCCTGTGAGGTCTTAAGTCACCTGATTCACGAGCCCGTTGTACTACATTAACAAAGGCACGAGGGGTTGGTTGCACTCGATTGGGAAACCGATCCGCATAAACATGTGCCATTTTCGTTTGAGCCACGCAACAGACACTATTCACACGCTAACCGACAGACACTGAGTGTATGTATAACTGAACTGAATAAAATACTTAATTGCAAAAACGTTCCAAATTCTTTCGCTTTTTTGTTTCCGATGCGATGAACTGGTAAGGCGGATTATATCCGTTGTTGCCAAACACGAGTACATGATATTATTATTGAGACAGGCGGTACTCAAACTTCCAAAGGGCTATAACTTTGTTACTTTAATTTTACCAGAAAAATGGTAAAGGAAAAAAACATTTTTCTGGTAAAATTAAATTAACAAAGTTATAGCCGTTTAGAAGTTTTGAGCAACGCCCTGTCTCAATAATAATGTAATATGCTCGTGTTTGGCGACAACGGATATAATCCGCCTGACCGGTTCATCGCATCGGAAACAAAAAAGCGAAAGAATTTGAAACGTTTATCACGATGTTTTTCGTCAGTCAGTAACGCGTAGTGGTGTTGGTTGCGTGGCTCAA